AAAAGTGAGAGCGAAAGTAAAGTAAGCAACAGCTGCAAGAAAATTAAGTAAAAAAATGTGAAAAATAGAAGGTCCAACATCTCATCGACAGAATAATTTAACATTTTGAACAATTAATACATATAATTAATACATACATATTGCAGACATATAATTTACTCGCGTATTACTTATATATACCTATTTATTCCTTAATAAATGTTTTACAAAATTATCTGTTTCTGTTTTTCTCTCTCTATCTCTTTTTCTGTCTCTCTCTCTCTCTTTCTCTCTCTCTCCCTCTCTGTGTATGTTTTGGAAACAGAATGCGTTATCTATGCATATATATGTATATATTTGTAATTTGTTATATTGATAACTATATTAAAAGTAGTAGTAATACGTAGTAAAAATATTAGATTAGGTACTTATAAACTTTTACTCAGTCTAATATAATAAAAATATTATATATAATTATTTATACATGTAATAAAATATAAATTAGAAATCAAAGAAGACAACGTTTTAATAATATAATATTTTCTCGAATTTTCTTAAATAAATGCCAAAAAATTTACGGCAACAGAACAATTTTTCTCATACAATACAACTTTGGCATAAATATATAAGATACACATCACATATGATCAACAGACAATCACACCTCCATTATATTTCAAATCTTCGTAGAGAGTAAAAAAAAACATTAAAAAAAAAACGCGATAAATAGACGTGTTTTTCTAGCGCGCTCTAAACGCGTCCATTAACAAGATTTCTAAAAATGAAGTATCTTAATTAAGTATAACCAGGTCGAATCAATAATTTATAATTCTGTCATAGCGGCACGCAACATTTGTTTTACGCAAAATGTTACAACACCTACCATCCGTTTATTTATACATTGTCAATGATGTAAACCAAGTTCTTTATATATTTACTCAACTTTCTTAGGAAAAGGTCAGAGCGCTATTTTTCTATATACCGTACATTTAATTAAAACGCTTAGAATCCACGTTGTATGTATCAACTCATGTGTAGAATCTATAATATATATATAATATATATATATATATAAACTATCATAAATAATAGTACCTATAATTTTTCTATTCACGATATTCACTTATAATCTTCTGTTCCGTGTGTTATATCGTGATAAGTAGCCAACTATTAAAGCTATATCATTTTTTAAATCGCAGACATACAGTATGAACAGCATGATTCACCAATATAACAAATGTTGTCGACGAAAAAGAAAAAGTGAAATTGACCGCAAATTACGTTCATCTCTCTCTCTCTCTCTCTCTCTTTCTCTCTCTCTCTCATGATTCCTTACAGAAATTTATTACTGGAGTGGTCAAAATAATACTTATTTTTTAAATATTAAAAATCACTGTTCAACTGTGCTTTAATTACTCGAAATAAATATTATTTTCACTGATAGTATCGTTACACCGTTCATACAAGCATGACGATAAGGTACTCAATTATATTTGAAGCTAGTTCCGAGTTTGATTCTTTATACACGACATTGTAAAAATCATAATTAACTATTATTTGAAGAAAAAATCAGATCAATTGACAAGGACTTCAAATAAAGTCGAAACGTTTTGACAAAAAAATTGTTTACGGTCATCCGAGCCGATCGCAGGATGTTGTGCGGAAAACTGCGTATATATATATATATATTTCCAATTTTCCGCACAACATCCTGCGATCGGCTCGGATGACCGTAAATATATTTCTTAGTTTAGTAACTTATCGAGCTCTTCAATAGGATTTAATTGTTAAAAAAAATTGTTCTTCAACAATAATTATTACTGCACCACATCCTGCAAAGGCTCTCCATATAGCCGCTTTATAATTTCAATATTCCATTGGATTTATCAAAAAGAGCCCGAGGTGACACCTCAATCTCTACTTCATATTTATTATTTTCACATCAATAATAAATGTCTATAAGGAATGAATTATCAATCGCTCGGTCAAAAATAGAACAAAACTTGTCCCTTATCCTCAAGCTGTTTTTTCAACCGTTTATTTGTTTTTTAAACCGTAGAAGAGAGACAAAAGAAGAACAAAGGGTGCGTTTTTAGCTTTGGACGCTCATGCGCTTATTAAGCATTGCTCACGTAGTTTGCTTTGGCGTTATTCAAGCGCTCACAAACCGCATAATTACGTCATAGTGACGTCATGATTCGTGCTTACAACGCTTATTCTATCGAGGTAGGAAAAGTGAAAGCGTGAGCGCTTTTTATTTTGCAAAGAAAAGAATAGAGCCGCTAGAAGGAAAAATTCAAACCGGCCTTTCCGTCGGAAACCAAAGTATCGTATTTTTACACAGATCTTTGTGTATGTGAAAATTTTACGACTGTGTGTACTTAAGAAAAAGAAACAAATTTCGACCACCTGACTGTGGTTTCAGCTCTGAAACAGCGATAATCATCAGATTTCGTTTTCTATCAGCATCGTGCTAAATCCATACCGTACGTCGATGATCTAAACGATACGATATATTAACACTGTTCATCACGTAAAAACGTTAAATCGAAGAGCAATACTCGCCAACGCGTTTTATCCGCGCGTTTATCCGTGTTACATATATAATCCAATAAATGTTTCTTAAATAAAAAACCACCGAAACCTCCGATATTCCATTGATCTCTCCTTCTATATCCTCGACAAATCGATAAGATTGGCCCAGTATAATTGACCGTTCCAGATGCGTTTTTGCATCTTGCAACAAAACTCTCTTTCTCTCTCTCTCTCTCTCTCTCTCATTATCAGTTCTGTCAAGTTGCAATACAATATCCTTTCGCTTCCGCAAGTCTTTTTGTAAATTGTTTTGGCACAAAGAAAATAAAAATTACATTTATACCCCACAAATAAACTGTATATATATATATATAGGCCGTGCGGTTTTTTTTATCCGTCGTTTCTAAGAGGAACTACTTCACATAATTACGACACTCTCTCTCTCTCTCTCTCTCTCTCTCTCTGTCGAGAAGCAATTATAAATTGCGAAAGAGTGACTACGTTGAAAAAAAAAAAAAAAAAAAAAAAAAAGAGTTGCTCTAAAAAAAAACGTTGTGTTCCCCATATTGTCCATTCGAAACTACACACACACTATCGCAACAGTTCCCTATAGAATAAAGATGATTTCTATATGAGTATACGAATTATACGGGGGGATAGTATATATATATGCGAAATGACGGTTGTACTTTCAACGAGTTTCCAATGAGGCTGTGGTGGGGTGCATGATGTGACCGAAGGGGATGAGCACGTCGTTTAATTAATAAACATTCTGTCTTTCTATTATCGCAAAAAAGTACTTTGTACTTAGTTCCTGTGCGTACAACATATTTGTCGCCATTTACGAAATTTCATATATCGTCAAACATCGTTGCTTCTGTATATATAACTATATAATAAGTAGATACGCTACGTGGTTTTGGTTTTTTTTTTCTTTTTTTTTTTCTTCAATTAACGCACGCGCAATCGACCACGCGAGATTCTCTCCGTTATTAATTCTACCGTGTGGAAGTTTTTCCTGTGGCCCGTCAACGGTGCGTTAAAAAACTTAACTTAAGAATGATAAGTGTTTCTCTTTTTTGTTTTTTTTTTTTGTTTTGTTTTTTGGCATTATGTATATTTCTCTTACTGTAGACTAATTTTTTTTTTTTTTTTTTTTTTTTTTTTTTTTTTTTTTTTTTTTTTTTTTTTTTTTTTTTTACTGACTAGAGGCATTGATACGTACGTTTTAATTTGGCATGAAGCGTATGAGTGAAATTCACAAATACTATTATCTTTTCTTTCTTTTTTTTTTTGCTCTAGGAGAGAAAATTCGAAGCGATTTTGCTACGAAACACGGAGTGAAATTCGAGAGACTTCTCAATTTTTGTTTTTTTTTTTTTTTTTGGTTTTTTTTTTGTCGAAAATACTGTTACGTTTTTGTGGGCTTTACTTTGTATCGCAAAGTGTACGCCGTAAAATCTTTGTTTTGTGTTAAAAAAATGTTTCTTCGCTTTAGATACACATTTTTTTTTTTCCCGACCACTCTGTCGGTTTTGTCTCGCGACTCGATTCGATTTTTTTAACGCCTTCGATCACAACAATCGCGACTTACAAATTCACCTTCGCGAACTTAAAACAAGTAACAATTCCGTAGAGTAGATCGTAACTAATGATATAATTAATCTAATAAAAGTTTTTTATTACCGATCTCTTTGCGTCACAATATATCCGCACACGTTGTATATGTGTACAGATATACAACGTATGCAGATGTGTTGTATGTGTGGATACGTTGTATGTAGGAACGAACTTAGAGAACCACAGTAGATCTACATCACAATATCTACAAGTGTGTTGTAACAAAGTTTGCACACATTGTACTCGTCGTTATTATAAGTCGAGAATATAAGAGTATGTGTGTGTGTGTGTATATAACATTGTTAATGCATTATAATAAATACTCCAGAAATATATGTGTACTCGCGCTGAGTAATGGAAATAATAATCCGGGATAGAGCATTGATGCAAGTGGAATATACCGTAAGACGCATACGTACCACATTAATACGCGATGTTTTCTTATTCTCGTTATAAATTTTTTTGTATGTTAACAAAGTTAACAAAGTTTTTTATAACATATACTCTCGCGTCTGAAGGACGACTGAAGAATCTTAGACAGGACTTCTTCTCGTTTATCGAGAAAGATTGTTTCGTTTAAAATTAAGATGCGGATCACAAACTTATAATTAATTAATAAAAAAAAAAAAAAACTGTAATATGTGCACAAAAAATAAGAGTACCAAAGAAGGTTACTGTTGCAACGTTACAAACTATTAAAAAAAAAAAACTATAAAGAAACAATTGAATATCACTCAAGAAACATGTAAAAAAATTAAATATTTTTAAGAAGCAACACAAAAAATTACCTACAAATTATGAAACAGTTGAACAGACGTTTATATAAATCTTTTCAACAGGCTCTTTCGTCATAAAATTTAGGTCCTTCAGACGTTCATAGCGTAATATATCGTGTTTGGAGGATTGGTCTGAGTGGTAAGACTTGCATTGGGATCAACGTAAGAGTTGGACATTAGCATGACATGCGCCGTCGAATTTGCCGGTCCGGATGGCTGAGGAAAGTCTCGGGTTGGCATGCTGGCTCCTTCGGGAATCCCGCGCTCCGTCATTGCGCAAGTATTAACGGTTCGTGGCAGTTGCAACACCGTTGTAACCGAGGATATGGCCGCCGCTGATGACGATGCGAGCGGAGCTACGCTATTCGTTCCAGATTGCGCGTTACTGCTAACGACGTAGGACGTTCCGATAATAGGCTCGCAACTTTTATTGCTGGGCACGACTCCTGTACATTTTAAAGAAGTGGCAGTGGCTGAAGTGGACGAGGACGAGGACGATGACAACGCGGACGCCGCTGACGCCGAAGATGACGAGGATGATGACGACGAAGATGATGATGAGGACGACGGCGACGATGAGAACGACGAGATGGCGATCGTTTGGGTTTGGATATCCGCGGCTGCGGCTGCGGCGGCTGCGGCGGCGGCTACAGCACTCGCGTTACCACGCGCCAAATGCGCCGGATACAACGGATAACCGTCCTGATTACTCGCCGGAATACATCTCGATGGCGCGACTACCGTATACGAGGGTGGCGAAAGCTGCGTTGCCAGAGGCACGCGATAAGAACCGGCCATTTCGCCGTGATGATGCTGATGCTGATGTTGATGATGATGATGAAGCTGCATGGGATGCAACGCCGAGTGCGGCACGGAAGTGAACGCGATGTTGGGCGATCGAAAATCTTCAGTCTGGTGAGGATGTATGTGAAGATGAAGCGGCGCCTGTTGAGCGACGGCCTGCAATTGTTGCAGAGAATTCGAATTGGGTACGGATGCGAGCGGCAGCGGCGGGGGCGGAGGTGGCGGAGGCGGCGGAGGCGGAGGTGGCACAGGCGGAGACGTATTGCTCAAATTGGAATGCGACGTGACGGAAGAACGATTTGCGTTATAATAGATAGCCTGTTGTTGATTGGTCCTGTTCAGTCTGGGATACGGATAACGTTCGATGTGATTGGCATAGTTTGGGGACGAGTGCGGGGGTAGAATGCGCTGAATATTTTGATAAGTTGGATCCGACATGCCGCTGTAAGGGACGAAGTACATGGTGCGGTAGCACTTGGTGTTAACAGCCGGCACAGCGCCGCCGGGCAACACGTTACAGTGATAATTGGCAATTGTTACAGGAGGATTGCGACGTTGCATCTTCGACAACGTGTTGGTATATATCGCACCCGCGATATCGTCGCCGCCGCCGCCGCCGCCGCCCGCGATGCGCAACATGCGCGTGCTGCTGCTGCTGGACATCTGCTGCTGTTCGTGAAAGTAGTGATGACCATTTCTGTGCTCGGCGTACATATGCGTCGCGTCTTCGTCGGAGATCGTTCGGACAAATTGACGCGGTATCGTGTTCTCCAGATAAGTCATGCGTTCGGTGATACCGTGGATGTTAGCGGTTACCGCCTTGCTCTCGGCGATAGTCTGATAGATATCGTCGATCTGTCGTTGCATCGTGTTTATTCGATTGATTGTGTTCGTGTCTCTCTCAAAACTTCCCATACTTGCGTACGAATCCGCAAGTATGGAGACCGCTTCGTTCCCGTCGGCCAACAGAGTCTTGGCGTCTATCTTCACGTCCCCGTTGTTCGCGTCGCAATACATTGGCCACGTCGAGCTCGATCGTGCCGCGTCGTTGTTGCAGTTGTTGGCCACACCGGTTGATCGCATTCGATGAAGCGTCTCGTTGATGGTTTCGTATTGCTGCTTGATCCCCGTCACCGACGGTCGTCGATTGAAACCGTAATCGTTTAGCTCGTCATCGTCGTTCTCCGCTTCATTGTCCACCTGGCCGTCCACCCTGACTTCGCGATTCTTAGTAATATTCTCAGTGGACGTCGTATTCACCGCCTTGTCCTCGGAGTGATAGCCGTTTGAAAACGCGAAACGATCCTCCGTTTCGTTATAACGTCGTTTTATTCGCTCCATTCTCGATTTGTCTTGCTCGACGAATGCGAGCAACTCGTCGGTTGTACTATTGTCGCCTATATCGGGTCTGCTGCCTATCGGCGTGCATCTCGTCACATCCGGTTGGCCGGCGTACTTTCTGTCGTCGTTCAGAACCGCTTCAATATCCTCCAAACTGTACGACGAGTCCGAATTGCAGCTCATTGATTCGGATCGGTTGGCGGACGTCAACATTCTGGACTCGTTTCGATAATAATCGGCATCTTGGTTGTCGGAAGCGTTTCCGATGGCAACGCAGGAGAGCGGCGCCAAACTCGCCAACAATTGTTTGCGAACGTCCGAGTTCAATTTTGGATTTTTCGACTGGCACTCTTTGGCGAGAAGATTTCTGCCCCCCGTGCCGATACCAAGATCGGGAAGGTTCGACTGAATGTTCTTTTTGTGCGCGAACAGATCCGTGAGTTTTTTGTAAGTGGATTGAGTCGTGGGCGGATTGTCTGTTATCAGCATTGGCTTACCCATCGAACTCTGTCCTCCGGACGACGCCATCATGTTCGCCGTTGTTGTCATCGCGTCGGTTGTCGTCGCTGTCAAAGAATTTGATCTCGTCGACACCATTGTTAAACTGGCAGCGGTTTCTGTTGAGACCACGCTCGCGGACAGCGACTCGTACGTAGGCCGTTCCTCGCCCAATGGCGACGTTCGTATCGAAAGATCACCCCCATACTTGGTATCCTTCATCGAGTCGGAACTGTCCGTTGTGTCCACGTTGTCGTCGTCCTGATCGACGCACGTGAGCTGCCTGATGCGCTCCTCCAACGACAGATTCTTGGGTCGTAGATTCTTCTTGCGCGATATCGTGTTATATTTGCCGATCAGACTTCGTCGCAGGGTGTTGCGTTCGATGGATCTTTTGATCGAGTTTGTCTCGCATTCCGGCGATTCGTACGAATCATCGAGAACCGATGACTTTTTCGCCGCGTCGAACAATCGCAAACTCTCGGCGGTAATTAGAAATTTGTGCGCCTCGTCCTGGAAATGATCCGAGGAACCTGGTTTGTTAGTCGGCGCCGGTGGTGGCGATATAAACTTTGGATTGGGAAAGAGTTGTCTTACTGCGGAATTTGGCTTCAGGCTATTATTGGCCAGAGACATGTTGCCTAGTTTAAAAACGAGGGAAAGCTCTTTGATGTCCTGCTCGCGTTGTGACTGCTGATCGCCCGACGTAGTCGTTTGATCACCGATGCGTTCGCTGACCTCGACCGTCGCCTCTGTTTTTTTCTCGCCAACCGGATTTTTGACGTTTGTGTCGCTTTCACAATTTTCCGTGACTTCGGATTCGTTATATCGCGCGTTGAGTTGCGACGTGTTCTCACGAACGACCGACATAGAAGAAGCGTCCGTCGTAAGACAAAGCGCCGGATTAAAATCGTTATCTTTTGGAACGTTGCAACCGTTCTTGCTTTTATCCGTATCGGATCGCCCGAAGCCGTCCTTGCGCTCCTCCTCGCTAATTTCCCGCACAATGCGCCGCTCCGTAACGGTTGTCATTGTTATTGTTTCCACAAGGTAACGATGGTGCAGATCTACAAAACAAAAACAAAACAAGTATTGTGTACCACTAAATCGAGAGCGAAATGAATAAATTTGATGATTTATTGCAAATTTGCAATGTTCAAAAAATGTAACACTTTAATATATACAGTAACACTTTAATATATATATTACAATCCTTATTTCGTATAGTTTTTTAAATAATTAGTTGCAATTTTGTTTCGTTAAATATCATATATATTAAACTATTTAAATAAAAAAGAAATGTACAATATATCTTACACATATTGTAAATATTTTGTTCATGATAACGTGATGTCTTATACAAGTGCGCAAAAATATGTTACTGTCAATAAAAACATTACTTCGAAATAAAAAAATATACCAGGTAGAGATGCTCGATGCTGTTTTTCCAATCTTTCTTGCAAACTTTTTTGACAACCGTCGTGCGTCGTATCTTTGACGTCTTGTGCGTCTTGCTGATTTCTATGATCCTTTGTTTCACATTCTGAAACACAAGATAAAATATATCAATATAAAATATATACATTTAAAAAATATATATATATATATATATATATATACACTAAATATATACAAACATGTAAATATATGTACTAAATATATTATAAGATAATATAATATAATATAATAATATAATATATATATAATATAAGATATAATTAATATATTAATATAAAATATTATACTAATATAATAATTTATATTAATACATGTTTTTGATAATACGTGATATACGCATTATTCCCGTAGAATTGTTCACACTGTACACATTTATACGTTTGCCATTTAACGCGGAAACTAGAGATGCGTAACACCTGATACAAATAATAATTCTGTACCGTAGTATCTTTCATTTTACAATATCTCAAACGGCTCAGATTAGAAGCTTTATCTATTAAGCATCAAAGATATTATATCGTGAGTTTTAATCTAAAGAACTTATATAAAACAATAACAAACAAGTTTACATTTTCTCTTTCATAATATATACAAATATATATAAATTTCACATAAACATATATTTAATCTTATATAAATAACAAAATGTCCACAAAAATATATTACACTTGTAATAGATTATTTTATATTTTATTTATATATCTGTCATATAGAACATAAGTTGCAACAACTTGCAGCACTGTTTCAAATTGTTGTTTATTTGTTTTATATGTTGTTTTGCAAAAAAAATATGTGTACAAAATTTACTCAAAAGTAATATGTAGTTATATTTTGTTTACACGCATATATTACACCTGTTGCAAATTCGAAACATATATACAAAGAACGCAAATGGTTTGCATAAAATTTTAACGTCGAACACGATTTATAAATCAAATAATTACATTCATATTTTATCAAGTTCACATATATCTATATATTGATATCTATATGTACATATCTATATGTTCAGTTTTATATAAATATATTACGGACTACATATATGTCTCATATACATGTATGTCTCGTATAAAATAAATTTTTATTTTGTTTTTTTTTTTTTTTTTTTTTCTATTTTTTTCGTAATCTTCGAAACGTTATAAATTCAAAATATTTCGACTAATGAAGATTTTAACCGAAGAATTTAACTAAACTATTTAAGTTGTTAAATGTTCTTGTGCTGAGTATATATCTCTTCACGCACGCGGGGAAATACCGGAGTTACGCTACGCCGCGCTTCCGGTGAACGCACGTTGAGATACTTGAATAAAAAAAAAAGCCTATATTCCTATATACTTATATATTGCTACTTTAAATGAGTTAATATCAAAGTCGATTGAGACTTTAGATCAAACCGATAAATACGGAGATTGAATTTGTGTCGTCGTAGCGTGTGTGTGATAAAATATTTTAAATTAAACTTTTGCCAAATAGCAATTTAAAAGCGCTTACATACATACGCGATAAAAAAAATTGTACATACTACAAACATTAACTCCTATTATATATCGGGTGTATAATTTATCTAAGTTCACTATTACACAAACAAATAAAAATATATTTACATACGCAAGAAACAAAATATTTAAAATAAATTAAAAAGATATAAATAATATATTAAAAAATAACTTAAAATATTATTAAAAAAAAAGAAAGAATATATATTCATAGGACACACGCACAGAGAGAGAGAGAGAGAGAGAGTGTGAAAGAGCGTGTTATCCTTTTCTTGGAATGCTAAAGAATGCACAGAAAAATTCTGCTCTGTGCTTAAATGATTTACTAACCGTAGCTAGACTCATGAAAAACAATACCATTATTATATGCGCATCCTGTGTGAGGGGATACCGTGAGACTGTTCCTCAGTTATGTGTGAGAAAAGAGTTGAGCGGAGCGATGCAATTCCTCTAATTTGCAACTTTCTATTAATACTGATATAAATTCCGTTCTTGTTATAGGTACGTAAACGTATTATTACTTTCGTTAATCGAATTAATACTCTCCCGATCAAAATAACACAATTTTATATTTATCTCTCTCGCAACAATTTCTTCAAAAGTTACTCAAAGAAATCACATATATAAAATAATTTATAATTATATACACCGAAAAAATTGTATTCTTATTTTGTGTGAGGATATTATCTCACTTACTTTAAGTATATTTTATACTAAAATAGGCGCCAAGAAGAGTTTCTTATTTTAAGAGGAAAATCCTCTAAATAGTAATATTGATAAGAATATATACTGATTAGAATATAAAAAGCCTTTATAG